TTGGGGAATCGACACTACTATACTCGTATATAGTGCCGCGTCTTCACTCGATAACGAAACATATTTTGCCAATGGTTGCGACACCGTTATGCTTCTTTTTATGTGTGAGATAGAATTTATCAAAGAATAATACTATTACTACAAGTTTTATTTTACAGGGAGGCAACGGAGACGTGCTTTGATCACGCTCACCAACGATACGTTGTGTGATTGTCGATCGTTGTATAATCTCGCACTAGGTAATAACCGATCAAATAAAATCGGGCTTCGCGTCGGGCCGAACCACGCCCCTTAGCTGTGATATAATGAGCATATACCACGGCCTGTCGTGAGCTATTGCTTAAATATACACATATATACACATATACATATTCTCGATTATGGCAAAAATCATAATCTCGATTATTTGGGTCAATAATTGTAATTGCGATTATTAACACTAGAACCTCCAGAGATTTTTTTTATACCTAAAACCGTCAACGGGGTCAAATTGACCCGGTATTAGAATGCATTGATTTTCAAGGTAAAAGTATTGCTTTAAAAAGAAAAATGGTCCTGTGGTATTGGTATTTTGACAAGCAATTTTGTTAAATTGTTTAGTTTATTAACCTGTTAAGCCCCAAGGTCCCCGCCAGCGTTTTTTTTTTTTTTTTCACGACACTGTGTCTCAGGGGATCTTAATATTTAGGAACCTATTAATGTGTTATACCAGATTAACGGGAATAATCTCAGCTAATTGACGATACAAACCAAAACACAAGTCTCATAAGAAGCATCTAAATGGCCCCTGAGCGGAAAATGCTAACCTATTACTGCGCCGATAATCACTCCTAGCTACCTTATTACTTATCCTAGGTGCACATCCAACACATCGTTTATGATCGCAAGGAGACACAGAATCTAACGGTGCCCACCTCAACAATGAAAGATACAAACTCGCGACGTTATCAACAAAAACGTACATCAAAAAAGTGGCGCTAGGTAGCCCACAACGCTAACATGGCTTACCTTCGTCTTTGTCTGGTCTAAACTGGTCTTCAATGGCATTAAAACGATAAAAACGATGCTGTAGTTAATCCATAGGTTAAATATACCTTTTTTTTTTTTTAAACAAAGCAGTTTGGCCAAGTTACTTACACACTATACTTGAATAAAAAACACACTTCCTTGCTAACCTGTTACTTTTAGTTATTTTTGTGATAGTAGCTTGCTCTCCAGTTGACCCTAATCTTGGAGCAACTGTTCAAACGTGTAGATTCCCATTAGTAGGCTATACTGTAATTCATGGGCATGACCTTTCAATCCATATAAAGATGTGCTTGCAGTTTTGCACCTTAATGAGCTAATTAATTGATCTACCGAGTTAACAGGCATAGACATAATGTGAGAACACATTTCTGTGTTTTTGTTATTGTTTTTAGGTGTATCAGCAACAATTTGAGTCCTAATCTAGCCTTGTAGCCTAAACGTTGGTAACGTGTCAGAGGGCAAGATAATAGTGTTAAAGTTAAAATGTAATTCCCAGTTTAAGTTAGATGGGCCTAATTGACATTCCTTGTGTGAATGTATTGAATAATGATCCCATAAAGACCTAAATCTGTTTTGATCCTGCCAATGCAGCACTGAGTCAATAGCTTATTCCCACACTATTTAAAGCATTACCCGGTTGAATAAAGATTCTTATAAGGTAGGTTAAGGAAATTAGGAAATTGTAAGTTGCAACACACATTCCAAACTTAGCTCTTTACCAAACTGAAACAGATTGGTATCAATAATTTTAAAGTTGCCAAAAAGGACGGAACACGGAAGAAATATTTTCAATTGTTTAATGGAAATCGATCATTTCTACAGTACAAAGGTAGGTTCATATTGTACGGAAATCAAATGTCTAGCAGGCAATAAAAGCGCACAAGTAATGTCAAGGACTCCACATAGCTCTGTTCTTGAGGTAAACCTAAGCCTCTGTTCAGATGACTTTTTGTACTCCAAAAACATCACCAATGACAGAAGCCAGTGGCATGGAAGCGAAGTGCTGTAGCTACTGTGGGACAGTAGGGAGAGGCAGCTGAGCTGTGTCGACTGTCGAGTGCTCCAAATCCAGTGCCAGTTTGTTGGACAACAAATAAACTGATTGCCAGTTAAATCTATAATCTCACAGCAGCTGCTCATCAGTCAGTGTGTCCATCAAGTTGTTCCTGCCCCAAATATTTTTGGAAAAACTTTTTTCTCTTCGACTGAGCCATAATACACTTATTGGGGTTTATAAGTTGTTGATGAAGATACATTTGCAACACCTAACCAATTTCAAGGAATTACCTAAATAAAAACACATCACAATGAGGAAATCTAGTATTCAACTAATTACCCTAAGGACATGACTTGAGGTGAATTTGCGCAAACCATTTTCTTCTAAGGGAACTTACTTTTTAAGGGAACTCTTAAATTACGAGGTCTTATGCCACCTGCTACAGCATGCCTGTGCATTGTCATTTGTGGCCAACTTATGTGTTCCCCATCAGAGTAGTCATGCAGTTAGAGAAATTGGGGAATGTTTTCTGCATTGTTCTTTCTCGGTGATAGACTTTTTACGAAGTTTCTCACATGTTTATTGTGTTAATATATAACTGTTACCACACAGAACAACCTTACTCATGTTTTAAATACTAAAGAAAGTGCTGCAGCTTCTCACTAAACTTAAAAACCCTCCAATGAGGAAATTGGAAATTTAGTCTTGTAAAACTAGAAACTCATTGGCATTTCCTTACTACCAATTAAAAGTTACAATTAAAGCTTTCTGCAACAGCTTCCTACTGTTGATTTAGATAAGAAAAAACAATGAAATCTGATGGAAAGCATGGTTGTTTGTCATTGGAAAAACATTCCCTTTTTAGTTTGATGATGCACTCAGAATAAAGATTACAACACCTACAGTATGGATTTGGATGGGGGTGCATAAACACATGCTTGCTTTAACACACACACAGGGTCTACTCTTTTTTGAATAATAATGAATACAAATGCAGATGGGTTTCAACCTTGCAGGGCCTTCTTCATCCGTGCAGAAATAATAACAACAGACTGGTAATATCTGGTTCACTTTTTTGCATTTGCTGGTTTGTAAGTCATATCTGCTAATGGCTTTTTTGTGTTTTTCCTTTTTTATACTATTATATTTTTATACCAAAAAGCCTTAGTTAAATGTGTACATTTTGAATTTTGTTAGAATGTGTTTTTTTTGGCAATTAAAATACAATTCCCAAGTTGCATGAGAACAGTTGAATGTTTATTTGCTTTCACAATCGCTTTTAAGATGCTCTTTAGTACAATGCCTGCATTCACTCAAACTCCTAAAAAACCTCTCTGGTTTTATAGCATTGCCTTCATTTTAATTATTTTTGACATTCATGCATTCTCATGCTTTAGGTCTCAATAAATATTTAAACAAATGCATTATACAGTAGCTTTCAAACATTTAAGGCAAGGCCAATTTTATTATAGGAAAAAAATACTTGTTTGTCAGTTGTGCAAAAGTGTGTAAGGCAAGTTTATTTATACAGCACCTTTCAGCACACTGCAACCCAAAGTGCTTTACAAAATGAAATAAAAGACATTTAAGAACAAATACAGTGGAAGCACATTATATAAAAAAGCATTTCAAAACGGGCATTTAAAAAGCAAAGATAATAACATCTACACAACAGGTATACAATACATGGATAAAAAGCAATACTGCAGTTTGAGTGCAGTACTTCATTTGCATAAAAAAAGTCATAAGTGTGGTTGACCTGTATAATTGCATAAGAGGATCTTAAGAGGATCTTGGGAAAGTAACAGTCTGGAGGACTATGAACAAGTAAACTAAGGTGTTGTGTCACTGCGGGAGGATCAGTGTGTAATGTCATTTTGCGACTCTCCCAAAACCCAAGAAAGTAGCTAATACCATCATGATCTATACATGGTTGTTTCCCGTTCCAACAGCGGTGTGTGTTTTTAGGAAAGAATAAATGTGTTACATGAAGATCAACTACTGTCAAAAATGTGTTTGTTGCCTATTGTCAGTAGTTCAACAAGCCAGCTTTAGATTGATTTATTTAGATTGACCATGCTGGCAGACAAACACTCTCCCTGGATCAGATAGTGCCCTTCAGTAGCGCTTTTTATCAAGACAAATATTGACAGAAGATAAGTGCCGCTATCATGAAGTCATAAAAAGCTGTAAAAACAGTCACCATTCGAACC